CCCTGCCCCCTTCCCCGGCACCACCCACGCCATTGGTCGAGCCGCTGCCATTGGTTTCGGGGCAGCGCTCCCGTCGCGTTTGCCTCGTCGATGTCGCCCGAACACGCGTGACGCGCTAGAGTAGTCGCGCTTCGCCGCGCAGTGCTCAACAACATCCAATTTAGCGGCATACTGGAGTCATCGAGTACAATAGAGTCGCAATGTTCTGGAGCGCCGATCAAGTCACCTCATGAGGCTGTCTTGTCCAGTACCCCTGAGACTAGTGTGCGGCGACTGGCGATGCCGTATGCGCGGGGTTCCAGCTCCGGTCCTAGCTCAGAAAATACAGGTATAAAATTTATTTCATAAAAACCGGGAGTATTGTACATTTTTTAATTCCTTTTGACTTCGGTGAACACAATTTGCCAAAATTCGCGGAAATAATGATTGATTTGAATGAATAAATCGCGGAAACCACTCGCAGCCCGCGCGATTCGCCCATGAGCCGCCGTGTTGAAAAATGCCCAACGGATGCCCAATGCCCAATGGCCCAATGCGATGGTACCTTTCCCGCACGGTACTCAGAGGCGTGGCGTGCTTTACGATTTATCGATTGATTTGCCATCCAAACCTATGGAAAAAGATCGATAAACAACGTGTTTGCAGCGAACACCTTGATAATCTACTCTTTAACATAGCTTCAAGTGGAGAAATATCGATAATCGATCGTTCACGCCACGCCACTGATATTGCTCTTGCAATATTGCGTATGCAGTTAACTACAGATACGGAAGAAATAAAACTCTGTTCGACTTGAGAGTCTGGATGAACAAAAGAGACAAAAAGAATAAAAAAAAAAAAAATAAATATAAAATAAATAAATATTAAATAAAAATAAAAAAAAAAAATAAAAAAAAAAAAAAATGTAAAATTGTAAATATTTCTAGAATCCTCTAAAACTGGTGACGTGGATGTTGGCATATTTTGGCTTCTCATGGCGGTACCGAAATTCATTATTTTTCCTTGCGATACGAGGAAATGCGAAATCGGGCAAATCTCTTCGGAGAAGATTCCCTGCCGCCAGTTGCGAAAAATCAGACCGGAGAGTTGGAATAAACCAAGTGCAATATTGAAACATGGTGTCATGTTAGCACACTATCTGAGACAGCGGCGGCCTCCACACCCTGCTGGCGATTTGGCCGCAATCATGATTCTCAACACAACGTGTGATGGGGTCACTGCACCTGCATCGGTCGCCAAAAATCGTAGCAAGACCTTGTGCTCACTGCTCTGGACTGAAGCCAGCATTGAGTAACAGGTCAAAAGTGACACTTGACTCAGATATGATCGTCGAAGAAGCCTGCCAAACCCGTTATATTGCGCGATTTTCGCCGAAGTAGACCACCGTTTTTCTTCTGAGCGGAGAATTCAAATTCTCAGAATCTAATGTAAACTAAAACCGTTCATATCTCAGTGAGTGGTGAATTTCAGCAATTTTCGTTGTGCGAATGGTAATGTGAAATCCGTGTCAGAAAACATGTATCCAAATGCTTAAATTCACACCCTGTCTAGTGATCCATTACAATTTTTTTTTTTTGGAGGCAGGATTCATTACTTATGGAAAGTCTTACAGTTTGTGATCTAACTCAGACGAATAATCAAAACATCTTTTGGACTTCTGGACCAGTGATGGCTGGTGCCACAGCAACACTGCCGTCCCAAAGAAGAATGTCGTATGGATCTTTAAATCGTTGCCAAATTTTCTTTGACAAATCACGAATTTTCAGGAAAATTCATAAACATTTTTTCCCCGCAATTTTCTTTAGAATTGTGTTTATACTTTGTTGCAAAGTGTCTGAAAATTTAAAGGAAAAATATTCATGTCTTTTCTCGATAAGAAATATTTTCTGAAAGAAAATTTCGCGACGTTCGAATCCTCATACGGCGTTTCACCGTAACACGGCAGAGCTGACTCCGACTGGCAACTCTCTAATATTCTGGGGTTTATAACAGTGCATAGGCTCGAATCTCGAATCTCGAATACGAAGCGTGCGGTGAAGTTGGTGTGCACCAGTTCCAGTTGTTTTAATTACGAGCCGCAACGCGGAGTCAAATTTGGGAGCAGGAAGCTGTTCTATTGTGTTATAATTCGAGCTTGTGTAACACTCCAGCTCCCGCTCCCCGTCTCCGTGTGAATCGCACGCTCAGGAAAAACGCCCTATCAGCCCTCAGGTGTTGCCAAATTGTCTCCGATAAAACGCGAATTTTCAGGGTAACTTGATTATATTTTTCTACCAATTGTTCAGCGAATTTTATTCGCAACTTAATGCTCACTAGCTGAGCAATTCCGAGGAGAAATATTCATAAATCTCCTTTGAATGAATTTTTCATCGGGGGAAATGTGGCAACATCCGTAAGTTCATACGGCGTTTTTCCTCAGCACGGCAGGAAAGCTTTTTGTCGGGCGGGGTGATCAAGCTCAAACGTTATTCGACACGCGCAGCCAGCATCCATCATCACGCCTGCCAGCGGGGCAACACCGAGAGAATAAGCAGGTGTTAATGTTAATGCTCCCGTGCTTAGGAAAAATGCCGTATCAACATTCGCACGTTGCCGTATTCCCCCTCTTAAAATATGATTTTGTGAAATAAATTTACTAGACGTATATCTCTACTCGACTTTTTCAGATACGGTAAATACGAAATGATAATATCGATTGGAGGAACTGGAGAAACTAAGTGATTGATTAACTTTAAAAATTGTTTTAAACGCTCTCTATCGCTCAGATCACCTAATCGTCTGCGTAATATAACGGGCCTCTCGCGCTAGCAGCAATACTCGCTCGTGCACAACTTTCAGCACAGAAAACTTGAAACTTGCGTCGAATCCATCCAATATGATTTTTACTCTCTTTTTTTCTGTGGAATACTTTCAAAACAGTTATGTTATCAGAAGTTGTTAGTGACTGAAAGAGTCCGTGCGGGTAGTTCGTGTGTGTGAAGAAACGTAACTTTTTGACAAAATTTCGTTATCAGAAGTAAAAAAAAATTTGCATTGGTAACGAAAGCCAGAACAAAGAGTTAATACTGAGTGTGGCGATTGGTCCATTTTCTTTTGTATAATCCATTATTTTCGAACTTAATCCGTCTTATCACCCTGATGCCAAATACTTTGTGTTAATCCAATAAGCCCAGAAGCTCGTAAGTTATATCTACTGACTAACCCCACCCAGCAGGTGAATCATGAACTTGTGTTCTACCGTATTACACACACACGACATCAATGAAGAGCAGTGAGAATACCGACCATTAAAAGTTTATGATCAGCAATAATAGTTCTGCTAAGGATGAACGCCGTATGAACATTCGAGAGTTGCCAAATTCCCTTCGATAAAACGTTCGTTTTTAAGGAAAGCAAATGAATATTTTTCCGTGAGTTTTTCAGGACCTTTAGGTGAAATTGCGAAACAAATTATCCGACAAATTAGCAGAAAAATATTGATAAGTTTATTAGGAGATTGATGTATCATCGAATGAAATTTCACAACATCTGAAAGTTCATACGGCGTCTTTCCTTAGCACGGCAGAGTTCCTCTGCGGTTCCAATACAGATCTTAAGCTCAATAACCCAACGCAACATCGGTCTACCTGAATAAAGTGAAATGTAAGATGGCGGTCATTCTCAGATTATACATGGACACGGGACATACCTTGAATGTGTGTTTGTAACTTGCGTACATACCTCAGTATACTAACTCCATAAACAAAAACGATTCTTAGAGACTTTAACGCAAGGGTACGAACACAAACACCTTCCACCATGCATTATATTTAGGTCATTCTCTACTTATACTTCTAATATACCCTGAATGTTTGTCGGTAACTTGTATACATTCTTCCTCAAACTAACTTTTTTTTAAAAAATAAATAAATAAAAGGTCCCTTAGAGACTTAAACGCAAGGTTAGCAACCCAAGTGCCTTGCCCTATGCAGGATACATTAGGTCGTCTTCTGCTTAAATGTGTGTCGGTAACTTGTGTAGACAGTCAAAAATGTCCGTGTTTAGTGTTACTTTGTGTTACCTACTTCTTTTATACACAATAAAACAAGTTCTTTGGGAACGCGAGGAACCTGAGGAAAACATAATGCGGTTAGGATAATTTTGTCTATTGCCGATTCATTGATTTTGTTGTTTTGAATCAGTGGAGAGATTGGCAAGATTTACGTGTTAAGTTGCTTGATTATTTACCGTCTTGGAAGTGTAGTCATGGATGTTAACTGCGAAAAGACTTTCCTCACTCTTAATTTGCCCATAAAAAATTAAATTCATGACCTCTCTGTAATCTCATCTCATGCTCTTTGTATTATCTTATGCAAAGTTATACACTCGAGTTCAGGTAGCATGTAGGCTGTAGGCACGATATCGCAACCACGGCGATACAATCCTAATTTTACGCTGCACCTATTAACGAAGAGAGTACTGTTAATTTTAAGAATCGCATCTTGCGTTTTAGCACTCAGCCTGTTATTACCCGCTTCGCTGATCGGTTGGCCGGGTACCCGGCATATGATCGCGACATCAGAAGTCGTAGAGTCGGAAGCTAAACTTCAGCTATTGACCTCATATTTCAACTAAACCGATTGATTTAATTTTCATATAATAAGTTACAGATACACACACTTTTTGTATACAATTTCATTTACGAACAAAATCGTAAGATCGACCAGAAATAATTGACTGTAATGTGATAGGCATTGTACCAAATCTAGTGTGTCATGAATCAGTCTAATTTGTTCAAAAATCATTTGATGCATCTTTCATGTCTCAATATGGGAATGTTTTAACCCTATTCTTTCGAATTCCTTTAAACGTGGCAGTAGGAAATCTATTTTCCGTCGTTCTACAAAAATTAGAGATTTTGGACTGTTCGTGTTAGGTTTAAAATTTAAATGATTAAATCTTCTGAAAATGTCCTGAATTAAATCCTGAATTATATCCTGATTAATTTTTGCTTGTTTCAGGATTCTGTCTCCAGTGTCATAAACGCCATTCATGACGTCGAACATGGGCAAACGCATTCACATGCAAGATACATTCTAGGTAAGTAAATTCGATAACCTTTTCTCGTATATGCCTCCGCCTTTTCTTCTTTGAAGTCGCATGTTTCCAGCTCGATGTTCTAAAAGAAGTTCTTAACTAACGTTACAATCTTTTTTGTAAAAACGTATTATCAGGGTTTCTACTGCACAGGCAAAAACAAGGGAATTTTGAGGGAAAACACTGGGCATTTCAGGGAATTGGACGTTGACTCTGGAATTTATCCTTTTTCAAATGGAAAGTTTATCTATTTAAACATTCACATGCACACAATCTTTATCAAATAAAATTGTGTGGCAGTGAAGTCAGAGAAGAAGTTGAAAAAGCAGAGGTAGCTTTTTAACTTGCCAGCTATCAAAACCTCGGGAGTGTAATATTGTAACACCCCATGATGTGACGAATGAGTTATTTTGTGCAGTCAATCAGGGAAAATACGGGAAACACATAGGGAATTTGAAAGTTGTAAAAGAGTAGAAACCCTGTGTTTTATTTTAATAAAGAGGAACTTTTATTGAAATAAAACTAGGCTCTCGATAAAAATCATGGACCACTAGAAAAGAGATCTTGCATAAAGTTTTTAGTACAAGACTCAGAAAAAGTACGGATTATCTCCTGCGCAATTCGTGCAATCTTTCTTTCTTACATCTTCTCCTCTCAATCAAATAAGATTTTTTGCATAAAATCTTTCCCTTTATCGTCATCGAGTTTGAGAGTTCTCGGAACAAACGAAAATATCATTTATTTTGACAGTTAATATCTGTTAATGATCTGTGATATTTATAACCTTAAGCGTTTAGTATTAAAACAGCAAGATGACCCACATCTCGTGAAGTAGCCATGTTCAATTGACTTCTATCTAAGGATCGTCATATTAGGTACTCAAGTCTGTGAAAATAATTGTTTTTACTTTCTGCAAAAGATGTCCGTGCGATTCAACCGTAAAATTTCCAATTGAACGCCAACGGGACCGGAACACCTCCACGCCATTTCATGACAAAAGTATTTATGGAAGTGGACATTTCGCAGCGTTGTAAGACCTTCCAAAAAAAAAATATAGTTGGCATTTTCTGGAAGTTTTCTGTACAGTCTATTAATACCGCCAATAAGTTGGTTTAGTCAGTTTTAGTTTGTAGCCTTGCACTTTTTTCAACGAATGAACCTCCACCTCCTCCCTCTCGCGTTTACAGACTTTATTTCCACGCTTTCGGAGAAAGAATCTGGAATTGGAAATTAAACACCTAATCCACTTTGGCGCAAGTGAGAAGAGTGACTGGAATCGATTAATCGTGTGAATACCTCTCGTTTGATAAGTTTCCAAATCGCAAATCGTGTATCGAAAACTAGAATCTCCTATTTTTATGCTTATATCATCACCATACACTCTCAGACCTCCTAAATGTCCAATTTTTCTCACAGTTCCTTCTACGGTTCTACTGGGTCCGCACTTCTATGATTTTTGCTGCTATGGACAGGTGTATGGTGATAGTCCCTAGGTGAGCTCCCTGTATTCAGATTTTGGAGACAGGACCTAGGTGGTCAATTAATGAATTCCCTCATTTAAACAATGTAAAAGTACATTTCTTGTGTAAGTTCTTTGTAAAGATCTGTCCGGCCTATTTTCATGATTTTTGCGGCTATCGATAGGAGGTGGTCTTTTGATATGGACCTGCTCTATGTAGATTGACTTACGTGGGGCCACGTAGTGGGCAGGGGGCGTAGTTCACCGGTGTTTTGTGCATGCGATAAAAACTAGTTATGGCGGAGCCTCTCAAAGCGTGATTTGATCATGCATTTTTTGTTTTGATAATTCATTCTTTTGATTTGATAATTGAATCAGTGAGTTCGATAACACACCAACTCGGTTTTTTTTCCGATTTTCACTATTTTACGGTTTAGTAACACTTATGGATAGAAGCATCTGCACGCAAAACGAAATTTCGAAATTGCAATCGGAAGTGCTCGAAACAGCGACGGGAAAAGGGAAGAATCGAAATATTTCATTGGAAATACCAATTTTTGGGCAATTCAAGGGAAACGGGTGACCATCCGATTTTGCGGTTTTCTTTTTTCGGTTCAGTATACCTTGTACCAACAAGTTTGTGTAAATATTCAAGCGTTATTTAGGTTGAAAAATTTGAATTTTTCAAGGCAGACTGTGAAAAATCAGTATCTGAAATTCGGTGAAAACGAAAACACACCAACTCGGAAATTCTTAAACGCTTAATTCTCTGTCATCAAACATGGTGTATCGATTTCAACTTGGTGCTTTAAAAAGTCTCTAAGCACTCGTCCTTTGGCACCAAAAAGGTTTTTCTTAAACTAACTTCTTCGCCCGCTGCGCAGTTTTAGGTGCTTTCTGAACAATTTTTTTTCCGAGTTGGTGTGTTTTCGAACTCACTGATTCAATTCATTCTTTGACTTGCACTTGGCCAACATGATTATTTTTGAGAATATGGCATCATTGGAGGCAATCAAAATCGAAGTAAGGCAGCCCTGCCGGGGCTGAGGGACTCAGGACTCGTCTCCGGTAATTCGTAAAGCAAATAGAATTCAAGCCCGCCAGTTAGTTTAATAACTTCTTATTACGTTCTGTGCGTTTGCGCTCGCGCCTGTCCGCGCGAGTTCACATTTTCAGACCACGTTCGGGTGTCACCACTCACCACTCCACCGCTCACCGCTCACCGCACCGTACGCTCGACATTATTACAATTCGTCGCTGATGTCTTATTTGCCGCGGTTAATTTCAAGCACAGTTATGACAACAGGAACCGAGCGACGCCCGCTCGTGAATATAATCTCTGAAACTTCACTCCGAAAAGGCTACTGTCCAGATGCGGATATTCGATAAGACTTAGAATAGAACCACTGATCTTCCATCATTCACTGGGAGAAAAAAAACAAAAACATTAGATCTAGAGCCCAGACTCTTGAAAACATTGACAAGAAAAAGTACGCTTGCTTCAATCAGATTTTGTTCAGATTTTTGCTTAAATCAAAAGGAAATCCGCTCAAATTAAGAGGCTTGGTTCTTCATTTATAAGCAAAACTCCGATTGAATCAAGAGTTTTTTTTCTTGTCGATGTTTCTAAGAGTCTGAACTCTAGATCCAATGTGGTTTTTTTTTCCAGTGTTCGAGTTAAACGAAAGTAGGGCATAACTAAAGGTTTGCTTTTAAACGGAGAATGTCCATCGTCAGGCCCCTTAATACCAGTGGCGAAGTTTGAATACTCGATCATCGATATCTCCCCATTAAATTGAAGTTGTGATGAAGAATCGATTATCAAAGTGTTCATTGTGAACACGTTGTTAAGCGACCCTTTTTCATAGGTTTCAAAGGCAGATCAATAGATGTTTCGCAAAGCACGCCACGCCGCGCTGGATACCCTTGTAAGGCGAGAAAAGCAATCACATAATTTTTGTAACACCTCATGGCGCTTAAACTAGTGTACCTACAGGGAGACTCTCCGTGGGAGAGTACGGACTTGTCGAAATGTGGAGCTCTCAGGGCCCAAAAGGAGAGCCAACATTCTAACACTAAAAACGTCACTGCTCATCTTCAGATTCTAGTATCAAACCAAGTTGTCTAAGAATGTTAATAATGTAATAAGGACTAATAAAAGAACCTTGATGCTCATACTTGTTTTATTTTACTTACATTTAGTACATGCAGAGGTGATAAAAGCCGAAGCTTTTCGAACGTCTATAGCGTTCATCATCTGGGGCTAGTGCATACGTAGTAACAACGGAAGAGCAAAATAACAAACAACAAGCACTAATCGCATCTGCATGTACTATATGTAAGTAAAATAAAACAAGTCTGAGCATCAAGGTTCCTTTATTACCTAGTCCTTATTATATTATTTATAGATGCTACTCCAATCATGTTTAATTAATGTTAAGAAATGAGTGCTCCTCCGTAAAATGAGTGAAGTCATGCAAAAATTAAGAGAAATACGTGCTTTACAAACGACGGGTGGTAACAATTCAATTGTCATAATAAATTACTATTCATGGTAATTGGTATGATATGTGACATAGTATGATAATTGGACTTAATATTTTGGCTGGCCTTTTGGGCCTTAAAAGCTCCATGACCTACCTCAAAATTACCGGCGTGTCCACAGACATGAGACCCTCCCTGGTAAAAATTGGCGATAAGAGCTGCGTTTCAAAATACCACAGGAATTCTTATCGCCGGCTAAAGAAGGCTACAGAAAATCATATAGCTGGCTGTAGAATGCGGAGAAAATCATACGGTCGGGCTATACGAAGCGATAAAAAATTATGCAGCCGGGCTAGAGTTCCTATCGCCGGGCTTTACACTTTATCGCCTGGCTGTTGCTTTTTCGCCATCGATTATAAAAGGCTGTAAGAAATTGTGTAGAAACTCGTGTGCTTTGGAAATCATTAAGTTTGATACGGAACCACCTTAATATTTACAAAACACACGTTATATTTTCCTTTCATACATATTTTTTTTCATCAATTAAAACGAGAATAATCCATACAAGATGTGCAAACATTTCAAAATCATGAGTTGAATAACGCTGACTCCGCCAGATTAAATATCAGAGCCTAACAACACGAAGCGGAGTGGCGACGCACTGGCGCCTACAAACCTAACAGGGATACTTCACGCATTGCGCTACGCGTGAAGTATCCATGTTAGGTTTGTAGGCGCCAATGCGTGTTTTGCGCTGGCTGCCCGCCTGCCATGGCGCTTGAAGCAACTTTTTCACACCAGGGGTATTGCACAGTATCATACGAAACTGAAGGCGCTCTAATACATATATTAGTAATGGCAGGCATCCATCAAAAGTACGGAGCTTTCGTCGCAAAATAAATCAAGATACTACGGCCCAAAAAGAGAGCAGTATTCCAAAAACTCACTATGTCCTAGCATCCGTAATTAGTAACGTTCAGCATACACTTCATCGCCTGGCTGTTGTTTAATCGCCATCGGCTATACAAGGCTATAAGAAATTGTGTAGCCGGCTATAGAA